CCTTCATTCAGACCTATGTTTCCTCCCCCAGGTTGAGGAGGGCTGCTGTAAGTCAAGGGAGAGTTCACCACAGGAGAGAAAACCAGCATAGTGAAAGAAGGCAGGTTACTCACCAGGCATGTATTAGTGGGGAATATAGCTTCCCCCCTGCCAAGAACAGGCACTGAAGCCAGAGAAATTTGGGAATGGGAATGTGTACGTTTCCATCCTCTTCTATCCTCCCCCCAGTTATCTAAACTTACTTTTAATGGGTCAGTCAACTTTATTTTGAGTAATAGCTTTCTGCTGCAACTTAAAGACCCATACTTCAAGAAAAGTGAATCCAGAAAGGAAGTCAACAGTGATAAGAGTTGATATTTTGATATTTTCCATATGTAGCAAGAATATATATTAGAAAAAAAAAGCAGAGATTATTTCATAGAGAGTTCACGAGGCCTTTAAAATAAACCCATCCTCCAAACACTGAAGAGAAATACTCATTAAGAAACAAATTCAACAGTAAAATAACAGAGGTTAGTGTGCAGTGGGGGCAAATTCCACGTTAAACCCACATGCTATTATAGTATTTATTACAACTACTGCCAATAATCTTTTAAACTATATTATAAACTCTGGAGCCTATGATATAAAAACTCACCCTTACTCCTAAACCCCCCTCATCCGATGCAATTCCTAATACTGTAAGCATTTCATGGTACACTGTAGCTGTTTATGTCCTTTTCATATGCTTCTAAAGTGACAACAGGGCTGGTATTACTTGTCAGAGGTCACTTCTTGTACTTGATCCATGAAATGACACTGGCACACATATGCACTCCCAAAATCAGATGTGCAGCTATTCTTTGTACTGCCCTCAACATCTGCTTGAGGCTTATTCTGTTCTCATTTCAACTCCTGAAAAATATTCATTCATCTAATACCAAATGTCAAACAAACCCTTGCTAGAATCAAGAAGTAATAAAAAAAAAAAAAGTACAAGCATGAGCTACTAGGATAAAAACAAAAGCTTGCCTGCTTAGAGAAATAAAGAAAACCTGAAAAGCAATCTAAAAGTGGGACTACAGAACACAGTGTCATGTAGAGACACCTGAAGAAGTTTAAAGACTCCAAATGAGATACTTCAAGGAATATAACCACATTAGCACAGGTTTCTAATCAGACTAGCTTGCTGTGATACTCAACAGGACCACTTAGCTGAGCCTGAGTACTGAACTGACTGTTGTATCCACTGTCTAAATTTGCTCATTCAGCACATGCTTGGGTATCACTAGACAACATGCTATAAATGTATAAACACATCTCAGGAGTCAGAAAAAAAATAGCTGATCCTCAACTTTCTAACAGTATTTAACCGATCTAGGAAAGACTTTCTTGTTTTTCTCACATTATACGCATTTGTAAACACCTTTCAAGGAGGTCTTTGTTTTCAGATATACATTTGGAAATTACATGAAACAGATGCAGGCCATTTGGAAAATGAGCCCAGTTGACCTGGACTATCCTCTAATTAGATGTCTGACTGTATACTAATAATGCAAATTGCTGCAAACTTTGGTCTAACTAGTAAAAAAGGATCTAAACCCCTATGTTTAAAATATATGGGGTTTTGGTTTTTGTTTTTAAATCCCCACGGCTTTCTAACAAAACATCAAAATGTTGAATGAACCTATTATGGCTACAGTGGTCTGTGCTGTTGGAAGCTGTTCTAATTATAGTCAGTTTTGCAAGCAAATTCTGATGAAGTTTTCCTGACTGAGGCAAATAAGATGCATAGACATCACAGGACTAAACGGAGACATGGAGTAAAGGGAAGAGCAGAGTAATCTCATAAAGGCAGACATAGGTATCAATGAAGTGGGAGTGTTTTTATGCAGAATATTTCCCCATTTGACCTTCCACAGGGGAAAGAGGAAAAAAAAAAAAGAAGAAAAAACACTATAGCAAACCCCATCAAACTTGAGGCCACCAGGATTTAATGGTATTCAAGTAACTGGACAAACCTGAGTCACTGGAAAGATGAAGGATGGAAATACATCCTTTCATTTACATTCCCTTTAGGCACAACGACAGGGCCAATAATCTGTCTGCATCACACCTTACTACCTCTTCTCTTTCTTAATTTTCTGTCATAGTTATCCCCTTGAACAGCAGAAATCAGTCCTCAAAATTGCTACATCAAAAAATTCTACTACAACATTAATTCATATCTGGATGAGGTGTCTTTCCTTCATGTCTCTGTGAGTCCAATGACCTAACACACCATACAAGTGACAGCACTGCTGTTTCACTCTCCTACTTCCAACTGCTTCAGTCCTCATCCTTTGCATAGTAAGAATGAAACAGAAGCCTGAACTTTACACTTTACTGTTTTTGTTGGCCTGAATTTACTTTTTTACAGTATTTTAAAATCTTTGTATGTCTTTTATAAAATCCCTTCAACATATTTTTGAGGCTTATAATACTTGTGTTAAGTTACGGGATATTAAATTGATGTAAAGATGTGATTCATTCTCTTTGTGCTTAAGATCATGCTGCTTAAGCAACACAGCACAAAAAGATGTGTCTGGGAAAGACATTAAAGTAGAAATCAATCCAATTTTCTTCCTTCATAGAAGCAGAAATACACCCCTACCAATCCTTTCTGCTCATTCATACCACAACATTATAAGTTATGTAGAATATAGTAACATCAGAGCTTAAATATGGGACTCGTCAAACTCTAACGTGCTCTCTCTGTAACACAAGTATCCTATGGGGAAAATTACACATATTTCTGAAAGATTTTTTTTTCCATTTCATTATGCAAAACCCATAAAATGATATCCTCAGTTTCCAGAGCATCTCATTAGAGACAAACTCAGAAAGGCAGATACATTGTCCATTTTTTGGCTGTAAAAATGTTCTGTGGGCAAAATGCCGTGAATAGATGCCACGGTTCCCAAGGTTCTTCCATCTACTCTGTGAAGGCAGTGGTTAATACTCATAGGAGTTGGCTGGACACTGACATTTGGGAAAACAGTGGGGGTGGTAGAAAGAAGAAATAAAATGGGTGCAGCAGATACAGGGTATGTATCAGGGAGGAGAGAGAGAGAAAGACAACAGTAGGGCATTATCTACCTCAGGCTGAACTTTTTTTTGGTGAGAAGATTCAAAACAGGAACTTTCAGCCATTTAAAAGAACAAAGCTGAGGTTCTGCTGTTAAAAAAAGAGCATTCAAACATTTTCTAAAGAAACTTTATCACTGTCAATTGGGGCATAGGATCTGAAATTTGACAAGGGCTTCCTTGGTGACAGAGAAGTCTATTTTGCTGCCCAACTTCTAACCCACCCACATTTGGATAGTCAGGAAGGTCCTGAGAAATCATTTGTATAACCTTCTCTGAGCTCTGTCCCTCCAAATGTTCTGCCTTCCAGCATGGTGCTTTCATGGGCCCAAGCAGCCCTTCCTTGCAAGCTGCTCCTCTTGACAGCTCATGATGCTGCGATGTTACCTTGCAGATGAGTGCAATAGCAAAGTCTCCAACACATGGAAAAAGAGTCATCATCTCTGGCACACACAGGATTGAAACTTGGACCACACTATCCTTTATTAGGTTACCTGATTAATGGCCAAGCAAATTAAATACAAAGCCCAAGCAAGGATCAGAGGAACAATGACAGGTGGAGGAACCCTAGTAATGTAATCAGTGGAAAACCTAATCAATGAAAATCAGAGCATACTGAATTGTCTGTTTCATAAGACCATCCAAGGGAAAGGATGAGACCATTGTCCCTGGTGTGAAATGCACCAAGGTGAGTCAATGGGGAAACTCTTTCATCAGAAAACTTTGCAAACAAGAGGGGGTGATTGCCTGCAGCAGTACAGGGACTCATTATGGGATGAGGGAAGAGCAGCATTTTGGGACTGTGTAAAATTTATGAGGTGGTTTTTCAAGGGGATTGTGGGAATGTGTAAAGACTTAGGGAATGTTTAGTGAGAGGACTGAAGATGGGGAAAGGGAGTAATCAAGGTGGATTAGAGAGGAAGAAGCGTGGGAAAAATAGAGGGAAAAGCAGATGAAGGGGCTGGTTGAGTGTAAAGGTAGCTGGTCAGCAGCTTGTCTGACTGAGCTCTGTGCCCCAGTACAACAGTCTGTCCTCTGTTCTCATTAAATCTGATTTCTGACCACCTTCTGTGTGGTTGTGCTCTCTGCTCTAGGTGTATATATTTGTATGAACAATACAGATCAGGAGAAGAGGTCTAAGTGCCAGCAGCTGGAGTGAGCTGTGAACCTCAGGGGCTTGTAGACCCTGCTGCAAGCAACTGGAGCAGGGCAGGGGCACCGTGGGCTGCTCCCGGATAGACTGAGGATCTAAGGCCAACGGCAGCAGTGACACATATTGTGTGTGCCATACTGCACTAGCAGACTCCAATCCTGATCAGCAGTGGAGAAGGAACAGGACTGGGCCACCTGTGCTCTTCATGTTCATCTGAGGGCTGTGGGCATGTAAGTGGGTGCTGGTATTGACAGTGCTTTCTCTCTGTGTTGCCCTGTCTGACTGGGCAGATGTGTAGCGTGAGCATGCCTCTAATATCCTTCTCATACAGTGAGTGAATGCTTCAGGAGCCACAATTTGGTGCAATACCCATGACTGTGAGACAGTAAGTATATTTCATTTTAGATGACTGTCAGGACAAATACAATGACTGTGAGATCTTCGTGGAGAAGTCTCTCACAATACTTTGTGAGTGTTCCATCTACAAACATACTTTTATGTGAAACAAGAAAGTATCAGAAACATCATTCAATGCACTAAATAACAGGCACTAACACTAAGTACCCTGATCCTCTGATTAGACAAGCCACAGATTGATTGTTCTCTCCAGCTTTGTGATTTTAATCCAAGTCAAGCTCTTTTAAGTATGTCAGATAGCTTTGTTGCAATGTTCTTCTTGTTTTAATTCCGACACCGATGCAGCATGCTTTCATTAAAAAACAAAACAAAACAAAAACCTTACCTCCAAGCTGTAGAGATATTTAAAACTGTTTTTCTGATTGGCTGCCTTTTCCACAGCTTGAGCTAATTCCACTGCTCCTCTACCACCAGCTGACCAGTGACGGCAGGGTACAGCATCAAATGCTCCACACTGCTTTGCAATCTCACACACCAGATCAACCTCGGCAGGAGAGTCCGTTCTGCCAACCAAATAGTTCCGTCTCATTATTTTGTTTATTTAGTTCTCTTTTATAACCTTTATATACTTAGCTTTATTCTACTATCAGAAGTTGTAAAGCAAGTCTATACAGAAATTGTGCCATATACATAAAGCATTTATATACAGCATATATATTTACACATTTCAAGGATAATTTTGTAATTGTTATAGCTAATTAACATGGCATATTAATATTTCCATAACAGTATATACTTTTTTTGGTGGTTTCAAAACCTTAAGAACAAATTAAGGATTTCAAGATCTTTATATCCATGATGAAAAAAGGAAGTTCTTTAATAGGTTATTTTCTTCATGCAAAAACTGATTAATTTAAAAACCAAGAAATGTGTGAAATTTGAACTGTGGATTTACCCACAAGAGTAATGAAAGAACAGACTTACTTGAAGACATTTAGAGCAACCACAACAGGAACTCCAAACAGCTGAGTAATTTGAATCTGTTTCTGTAGATTACAGCAGCCCTCAGCTACCAGCTGGAGGTTCTGTGCAATTAAATAAAAATTAATGGAAATGGTAAGATACATCAAGTCTTCCCCAGCCAAAGAATTTTCCATGAATTAAACTGAACATAAACAGTGCTGATCATGACAGTTGCAGGCAAGTAGAATACTTCCAGACAAAAATATTTTGGCACTTATTAATTCTTATTTCAATTAATAAGCAACAGACATATTTAAGTAACTAAGCAACATCCAGAATTTGTACATGAATGCATTGCTCTTTTCTGGGACACAAGACAGCAGTGCAGCTGATGACTGGTTGCCTGTCACGATGGTGCAAGGGCTGTCAGTCTCTTGTTTGCAAAGTTTATAAACAAACTACAGTAGTGGGGTGGGGTATGACATAGAGATGTGTTAGATACATAGTCTAATCTATATATATACACCAGATAAAAGCACATTATTGTATTTCTTTATTTACTCTTTTACCTCACACTTTGTAGGCCTTGTCTTAATTGCAACAACACACATATCCTCAGCCTGATAAAACCAAAATACCAGAATTTGTCTACAGTGAAGAGACAAAGAAAACAAACCTGTAAATCCACTCTTATTTGAAGAGTGACATCCAACACCAGATATGAAGCACAAACAGATTAAACCTGTTGTTTAATGAACAGGTTAAGCTATTAATTTCAGCGAGTGTCTTTGACCCCTGCACCACTCTGCTCTTGTGCTGCCATGAATGTCTGTATGATGGACTGGAATGAAGAGCTGATCAGTCTGAAAACTTAGTGGTCCTGGAAAAACTACTGAAAAAAAGTTATTTTTCGGCCAGCTCAGTTCCTCAGTACAATCTACCATGCAGTCACATACACAGCACACACAAGAGGGGTAACACTAAGTGGCTGGGGGAAGATAAGATGGCTTTACTTCTTGGCAATAACTGTTAAAGGTCTTCACTGAATGTCAGTATCAGAGCATGCTATTGTCAAACCTGAGGCTGCACACTATCCAGCCAGAGGAATGAGAAGTTCTGACTCTCCATACACCATATTATTTTGTCTGTTAAAACAAAAACTTTAGGATAAGTTTTATAATAGTTCCTCTTACCTCTTCTGTGTATTCTTTCTTCAAGGGGGCACCAGCAGTTACCTGGAATAATAAACAAAGTAATCACAGACTGACACTTGTCATAATCCTAAATGGTCAGAAGTACACTTTTGCTAATTTTCTATACTGCCAGTCAGCACATACATTGCACATAAGAACATAGCTTCACTGCAGCTTCTGTTCTATTTGAAGTTACACCACTACATGGAGAATAGCAACCCTTCCTATTTAGGTAACAAGATACAGGTAGTGACTCAGCAACTAGTTGTAAAGATTTATTAGAACAGAGGTAACTGGATCCCATTCTACATGTTTAACAATACACCAGCAGTGCAAAGACAATGGACAGCAACCTCCAACAGCTGGCTGAAGGAATAACAATAACACATATGCCTAGAAGAGGAACCATCTTGGGTGTCTTGTGATTACTGCTCGTGGCAAGGAAGAAAGCACAAAGGTATACAGACAAAGAACATCACCAGGGTGCTATATTGAGTTTCCAAGGACCCAATTACATTGATCCCAGGCACTGGACTTAGTCACTCTTGTCTCAAGCATTGGTCTTGGTCCATTTTATAGTTAACCTCCCAGTAAAAGTATGTGGTACTCTACAAGAATGATGCATTATGTAAACAAATGAAAGCTTTATACTTCTAAAGACACAGATCAGACAGAAACAGTCAGTTATTAAGACATATTTAAGTCCTATTTTTGCTAGATTGAATGACAATTGACAAATGACAATATATCTGCCTTGATATGCATAAAGCAAAATCATTAAAAATAAAGAAAACTTGCATTAGAAGTGGACTAAAATGATAGAAAGATACATAATTATGTCAACCTGAAAGACTGAAAAAGGACACCTCAGCTTTAGCTCTAACAGATGATTAGTTGTAAGGTAGACTATGCAATTCCAAAATTTTGTGGCTGTGGAAACAGGTCTGGTATTTTCACCCAGTGAGACTGTTTCCCTGGCAGCTCACTCACTGGCATGCTGCTGGGCAGATGAAAGTGTTTCCAGGAGTTAAGTGTCTGTCTGCTTGGCTAGCAGAGTTCGATCTGATTGTATGACTGAGGAGTACTTCTACAATCAGTAACCTGCGCACGTCTCTTCATGGTTTAAACAGCAAAAAAGTATATACTGGTGACTTTTGGTACACTGTGAAAACACTCGCACAATTTCATCAGTTACCTTAGCAGCCCTGAGGAAACTAATCTGAACAGATTAAGAGGACAGAAAGGGTTCCCATTATTGCAGTGAAAGAAATTTCAAAACCTTCACTAACAACATTCCCTACTTCCACTCACATACTGCAACCTGAACTCTTCTCATTCCTCCTCAGTTTCCAACTTTCCCAGCCTGTCACTTCAGTGCATTTACAAACGTTACTTCAAAAGGCAGGGAAAAGAATATATATACATATTACATCTTTTTTTTTTTTTTCCCATGCAAACAAACCTCCCTTCCTCAGCAAGTTTTAATACTTCTTCAGAGCTCTTTCACCCCTCTTTTTTCATTTATGCCTTTCCATTCCTGCGTTACCTTTGGAAGTAACATCTACATAATAAGGTAACTCAGGAGGGATATCTGAATACTGCCTCATAAGATACCCCCAGTATTTCTTAAACCAAGATATTTTACTTATTTCAAATATCAGCAACATTTTTATTTTCCAAAAAAGGTGCAAAAACTTACATTTGGCCCACCTCCATGCATCTTCAAAGCCCTCACTGTAGCAACAAGTACAACCACACTGGGAACCAAGCCAGAGGCTCTGCATTTGATGTTGAAGAATTTCTCCATCCCAATGTCAGCACCAAAGCCAGCTTCAGTTACTGTTAAACATTAAAAAAACAAAACAAAACCACACATAAAACATGCTCTCAGTTAAACACTGGGGGATATTTCTACTTTAGCATACAGTGCGCTTAAATATACACCAGTACTCAGTTTTGAATGAACTTTCAAATAGAGGTCTATTTACATTACTGAGTCTGATTAAAAAACTATTCCCAACTCAGAAATAAATTCTCTTATTCTTGATAGGTACAATATGTCATCAAAAGTAGTCACATGGGGGGAAAAAACCCCAAGCAATCCAAATTAGTTAGAATCAAAGTCTTTTAAAAACTTAGAGTCCTTTAAAATAGCTATTTATGTGTAATTATATTTAAAATGTTTAAAATTCTTACAGAACTAAGATTTCCCCACATTATCCCTTCTCTCCCTTGATTTCACTGAAGATGTGCTTTCATCATAATTAATGCACCTAAATTCTCCTAGGTTTGCAGAACTTCTGATCATCTCTTGCCTTTGTGGAGCAGATGTTTAATTATAAACACAAAAGAGTGTTTACAGTCATGCCTCAGTGTTGAAGATACTATTAAACAATGAATTCTGTAACAGGACTTTGCACCAAAGAAGTCAGACATTAATTTAATGTGACTCAGGAAAAAAATCTGTGCAGAATTAGGATATGCCTGGTATTTTTAGAAGACCTACAAATAAAAGAAGATAATTCTGCAATATATGATGTCATTTTCTTCAGAGCTAATTTTCTCTGATTTGTCAAATATCAATTATTTCAGCTGCCTCTTTTAAAATCCAAATAATTTATTTTTATTAGACAAACATTAGCAGACAGCAATTCAGAAATTCAAGGGATTAAATCTCCTCTCAGTTGAAAATTTACCGATGTAACTATTTCCCCACCAGAAGACACTGAAGGGTTGGGATCAATGTGTGCCTCTGGAAGATGTGAAGGAACTTTCAGCCAAACAAGTCAGGGTGGGAAAATCACTTGCTTCAGAGGCTCCTGGACCTGACTCCAAGCAGGGCTGGTAATGTCTCCCCATAACCCCAATCAGCTTGCAAAACCTAGTAAATTCCCTTTTCGTTCCCTCCCTCTTGCCAGTAGTTTTGACTCTCATGCTTAGAAGGGGACCACAAACAGCTGATTGAACATTTCAGGGCTGGAAACCTTCAGCAGGGTCAAGGAGGAGGAGGTGCAAATCAGCTCTGCTGCTGTGGGAGAAAGTGTCTCTCTATTGGCAGCTGATGGGCTTCAGGAAGTCCCAGCCTTTGTGCATTTGTCCTCACCCCACCGGTGCTTTTCCACCCCTTGGTTTTGCACAGGCTGAAACAATTGCCTGTGTGGCTCTGCTCAGAGGGAGGAAATGGCTGCTGGGGCTGGGGGAAGAAGCAAGAGCTAGCAAACAAGGGGTGGGCATGTGGCGGGGAGTGGGGACCTCTTGAAATAGTAACATGGCAAGTGTCATGTTTAACGTTCTCCTGAATCACTGTAAGAAGTATATTATCTTTTTCTGAACAGCTCTGAGAAAACCAGACATACCAAACACAGAAACAAACAAACAAACCCCCCCAAAACCAAACAAACAAACAAAAGGTTTACACAAACACAATAATTCATAAGAACAGAGATAACATCAGGATAAGTCCTACTAAAAGCAGAGCCAGGGATCACATGTTTGCTTTCCAGTAACCCCCATTCTTCTATTCCAGTCTCTTATGTGGCACAGTGTGATTAATGAGAACTCTGAGTTGGGAATATATAACCACGATCAATCTTTAATATAAACAACAGATAAACGACCAAGTACTTGAGAGGGTGGGAAAATAATTTGTCTCTTACAGAGATTGCCAGCGTATACACACAGCAGTCTCCTAACGTTTCCAAACAAAGTTTCCAGGGAGTTAACCATTTTCATGCAAAGCCGCTTCAAGGGCCAGTTTTCCTTACAGAAAGGGGAATTGCCTTTCAGGTCTGCCTTTCAGTGAGAGAAAAGCAGATTTCAGCCTTCCAGCAAGCACAGCAACAGCACAGACAGCACTTCACGGCTCTCCGGGAGCTGCTCAACACCCCGCAGGCAGTCTAAGCAGCCAGGGCAAATGCCCGGGAGAGCTGTGCAGGGGCACCAATCTGGGAAGCTGTGCATATTCCTCTATTTTTTGTAATGCTTTTCTTTGATATGTTGTGGTGGCTTGACCCAACAGTGTCCTGCACTCACTCCCCCCACCCAGTGAGATGGGATGGGAGACACAACAAGGGAGCACGGGATTAGGAATGAAGGACAGGGATGACTCACTCACCAGTTATGGTCATGGGCAAAATAGACTCAACTTGGGGAAGAAAAATAAATTTAGTTTGTTGCAAATCATCCAAGTAGCACAGTGAGACATAACAACCATATCTTAGAACACCTTCCCTCACCCCTTCCTTCTTCCCAGGCTCAAATCACTTTGCTCTTGATTTCTCTACCTTCCCTCCTTCAGCAGCATGGGGGGCAGGGAATGGGAGTTCAGTTAGTTCACCTCTGCCGCTC